TTATTTAAAAATTTATTATCAACACAAGGTCTTGTTTGAATCTTTTTTGGGTACCAAGCGGCAAATGCCCAATTCGATCATTTAATCGAATTCCTGCCTAGCAATTTTATATTTTTTAGGATCTAAAAGTCTAATTTTACAAAAAGGTAAATTTCCTTCAGTTACTATGATGCCTTATATTGTGTTTAGCAGTTAAATGGCAATTTAGAAATGAAAAAACTTCAGGACTTTTTTAAATAGCCCAGTAAATTTAGTATCAACATTAAATAGTTTAGGCGAAATGTCTTTAGTTTTTAAATATTTTTTTTATTTTTTTAATAAAATCTAACGAATTTTTGAAATCCAAAATTAGTCAAAAATGTGTTAATCTGCACCTAAGATTGGTTTGGTTACATTAGCAATAGTAAAAAATCTGATGTGTCCAAGACATGACATTCCTATCTACCTATTTAGTTATTACAGGCTTTTTTCGGTTATTTTGTACAACCTATTGTAGTACCTCTGTAAATATTTAGAAGTTAACTTAATATATACATCTTCCACATATATCTAACTCGAAACATTTTTCTATATACACTCATTGCCAACGAAAATGCTCAAAAATTTTATACTTTTCCTCCAACTTTTCCATTACGGTCCATTTTAGAGAAATCATGTAATAAAAATTATAGAGATAGACATCGCAAACGTCTTTTAGTTCAACAATTTTCTTAAAAATCAGAATTATTTTCATTTTAAAAAATTTCTAGAATTCGCACTATTTTAGGAAAATTTTGTATACAACAAAAATTATAGAGAATAATATAAGAAGTAACTTTTATTTAAAGAAATTTCTTCTCCGAACGTAAATAACAGATATATTTTATAAAATATAAAAATAACCCCCCATAAAGTACCCCCCAGATGTTTAGATTCGGCACAAAATCTTATCAATTCACCGCAGTCCAAAATAAAAATTATTTTTAAAATTTGGTATTTTTCAGAGTTATCGTGGTTACACACACGTATTCGCACACACGCACCCACACACACACACACACACACACACACACACACACACACACACACACACACACACACACACACAAACACACACACACACACACACACACACACACACACACACACACACACACACACACACACACACACACACACACACACACACACACACAAAATACAAACCACATATATATATATACACACACACACACACACACACGCACACACACGCACACACACGCACACACACGCGCACACACGCACACACACGCACGCACACACACGCACACACGCACGCACACACACACACAGACACACACACACAGACACACACACACAGACACACACACACACACACAGACACACACACGCACAGACGCACAGATGCATAGACTCACAGACGCATAGACGCACATACGCACAAACGCACATACGCACATACGCACAAACGCACATACGCACAAACGCACAGACGCACAAACGCACAGACGCACAGACGTATAGACGCATAGACGCACAGACGCAGAGACGCACAGACGCATAGATGCACAGACGCACAGACGCACAGACGCACAGACACACAGACTCATAGACACACAGACACATAACGCATTTGTATCTCCTGTGATGATAACATAAACGATCGTTTGATTTATTTTCCTTATTAAATTTTCGATATTTATTTTTAGACCTTGAAGAATATCTACAGGAGCAGTTTTGTTCGGAATCCCTACGAGACGTGTGACAGAAACTTTTATTTTCTTTCTAGTTTATTTTTTTTTCATCCATTCCTTCATCAATATTTGGAGATTATTAATTAAATCGTTTATTGATTGGGCCAAATTTTAATTTTCCTTATCTTTAGTGATATTATTGATTTCTCCTCTATTATAATTTTAATTAAACGCTGGATGATGCAGTTGATTTCCAAATTTTATCAGCTTTATCTAGTAGATCTTTGATTGTAGACTTGCCACATCAAGGATATAACTATAAACTTTGAGAGTCTCCTTCTCCAGATCGTTAATAGTAAAATTTCGTTAATAATAGAGTCCCCTGAAAATCTTATCAATTCTCTGTAGAAATCTAAGGGTTTTAGATTCAAAGTTTGATTGAAAAATCGCTCCAACATTTAACTCTAGTTTTTCTTTAACATTGACGTTTCTATCTTTAAGAATTTGATAGTAGGTATAGTTTGTCTAAAGTCAGTTGGATCAGTATAAAAACAACTGGTAAAAAAATTCTTTCAATTTAGCCGCATAACATAGGCGTAGGAATATTTTTTAAATTAGGTATGTAAAATAATGTTTTAATGATTTTAAAATAGAAGTATTGAATCGATTTGCATCGTTTCGTAGAGGACAAAGAGAGAAAGGATGAGTATTCTAGGAGAGACGGGTGCGGAAGACAGGTTTGGTTTTCGCGTCTCAGTTCTTGATTCGTCTTATTATACACTGCTTTATAAATTATCCTTTCGTTCACAGATTTTCTTGATCTTCTCGCTGTTATTCTCATTTCGCACATTGGCTTATAACATCGTTTTATATCACTTTTTTTGGAGCATGTGAGAACGCTAAGTTTAATTTAGTTCATTACAGGTGAAGTAAACCTGTAGATTTAATCTTGCCAGGTCTGTATATAAAGAGGCTAATTTTCTGATCATAGTAGAATTTTTTAAAATCACACAAAATTTCTTTTAATATAATCGGCCAATTAAAGTTTTTATTTACTTCATGGTTATTTTTAAAAACTAATTTAATTTTTACTATAACATCACTGGTAATTTTTAATTTTGCAAAAACTCTTCTTTTTATTTGCCTACCTACTAATTTTGTTAAACAAATTATTATTGCTACTTCAATTCACCTACACCATGGTTCGTATATAAAACTGATTGTCCCTCAATGTTTTTAAAAATAATTGTGACTGTAGCAGAATTTTACCGAAACATTGGTAGTTCTATACAAATTCACCGATTAAACCAGAAAAATTTATTGTATTTGAATAATATTTAGACATATAACATTTCATTCAGCAAATTGACAAGTATAAATAAAACTACTTATGACAAGGAATATAAGTATTTACACACCAAAAACAAAAAAAAAATAAACAGAAACTGGAACTAGTCAAACTAATTTCAAAAATAAATGAATAAAAATAAAGCTACAAAAAATGTAGCCCTAGTCGTCATCAAAGAATTCATCGTCGGATGAACTATTGAGGTCAATTATAACTGGCTGTACAGGTGGCAGAAGAACATATTCCTGTTCTTTAGAAACTACATGTGATATACTGTTTTTCCAAATATCACTGTGTTCATCATTAAAAACCAACTTTATACGTTCAACAACTTGTTTGCTTAAATTCGGGGATTGATTTATCTTTCGTAATTACTTTTAATGTATGCCCATATTAATTCTATCGGATTAAATATGCAATAATAGGGAGGTAGGCGAAGCAGAGTATGATCGTGCGTCTTACAAAGTTCATCTATATAATATTCCTTTTCAAAATTCTGTTTTTCTATAATCTCTAGTAAAACTTTGATTGTCGGATTTTTTTGAGGAACGGCTAAGTTTTTCTCTTTTATAAATTCCAAAATATCACTTTTTTTAGTTCTTCGGTTAGGAATTGTTCTAGTTTGACGCGAATGATAAGAGGCATTGTTCATGACGATAACGGTTTCCTTAGGAATATTAGGTAATAGCTGTTCTTTAAACCATTTTTCAAATAATTACGCCGTCATATCCTTATGATAATCAGCATAGTACTTTTTAATTTGTTTAGCTGATAATAACAAAGCATTAGGGACAAAACTATTTATACTTCCTGCGTGCAAAATAACTATTCTTTTTCCTCTAGAGGAAGGCGTTTGCAAACAACTATCAAACCACGTTTCATCCAGGTATACGATATGTCGATTACTAACACGAAAATTTTTAATTTTGCGCAAATAATCCTGACGAAGCCTAACAATTCGTTGTGATTCCATTATCACTATTTGTTTGTCCAATTTCTTATGTCTAAATCTACAATCTAATAAAATTTGACGCAATGTTTCTAGGGACTTGTAATTATAGTCGGGGTAATCTAATAATTTTCTTTGAATACACTCTAAAGTAGGAACTTGATTTTCTTGATACATTTTATAAATTGTCCTACGTATAAATTGCTTTCCACTTTTATCAATTTTCGCAAGCTTTTGATTAACTCTCACTTTGTACAAAATGGTCAGTTACATCTCCTTTTAAAATAATAATACGATAAATAGTTGTTCGTTTCAATTTCGTTAGTTCACATATTCTTCTTATTATAAAGTTGTCGGATTTTTCACAATTTTCTCTTTTCAAACATTCAAAAATATTTAAAACAAGTCTCTGTGTTTGAACATGTAAATCTTTATTTTTAAATTCCCAATCACCTTCTTCAGTATTCTCTGAATCACAGTCAATGTTCTCATTATCCTGTGACATTTTACTATTTGCCTCAAACGGTCTCCAAAATGCCATATTAAAACTGTCACAGATAAACTTCCACTCAATATTTCTTTACTTTTAGTTCAATCAGATAAACTGATTTTTGACGCAATTATTAAATTCACTTAAAATTCTAAAATATATATATAAAGATTTTTTATCTGAAAAATAAGAATCTATCAAAAAACCCAAACACGCGGTACTGAAATTTATTACCTAGCGACTCAATAATATTGTGATGATAACATGGGCAAGATAATGCGAAAATACAGCTGGTCTACTGCTTTGTCAAATGATAAAGTGTCACTAGTAATACAAGGCTAGACCCGTATTTATTTAGCCCAATACTATGTAGCTTTAGCATTAGCAAAATATATAAACGGAGTACTCTTTGTACGCTAGTTATGTTTTTCATTATTCCAACTGACTTTGGAAATACTATAACTATTTAAAAATGCTTTGTGAATACAGATGTTAGTGGTTCTTAGTTGAATTTAATATTCAGGAACTCTTTTTTAGCTAATTTAACAAGTGTTTTTTCAAATGAGAAAGCTGGTATACAGGAAGGACATTTATTGGATGGAATGACGATAGATACGGACGGTAATTTATGGGTAGCTGTTTTTGGAACTTCCAGAGTATATCAAATTGATCCAAAAATTCCAGACACAGTGTTGCAATATATTGAATTTCCTGCCAAACAGGTAAACTTTGAATGATTATTATTATGCTGTTTATTATTAGATTGAAAATTTTTATTGTGATATATTGAATTTCACAGAATTATCATGTTTGCTACATATGCTTAGTGTAATTAAGTTATCATACGAAGGGCTCGGCTGTAAAAAATGGTAACTGAAGTTATCCAAAATTATCCAAAACAAAGTTACTTTTTAAAACTAAATTGAATGAGAGTAATAATTTTCGTAATATTTTTTTATTTTATAAAAAGGCTGATTTTTTTCAGGTGAGAAAATTATTATTATTTTTTTTTTTTTTTTTTTAAAAGTAGGTTGTTACGTGCACACTTTACCTTGGGAATATTTTACCCTAAAAAGATAAAGATGTCTTCGAAAAAATGAATTTATTCGTAATAAGATAAATCACAATATTAATAATAGTTTTCTTTCATCTGTGTTTCGAAACCCTAAAAATAATAAATATAAATAACAATATCAATAAGATATTTAGGAACATAAAACTTACCAATAGATTTAATCACACCTTTTTTTCTCGCCTTCATCGTCTGCATATATTTTACTAAGTGTAGTTTTACTTCTAAAAACAATACAAAATATAAATCGACATTAGATACCTCACGATGAGTAGAATGTTATTCCAACAAAATACTAAATTATAAATGTTTACCCTATTTAAATAATTTAGAGAAATTTAGTTATTCAGTTAGGTAGTTTAGGGTAGATTTTCTTTAAAATCTTTATTATGATTTTATATATGACTTGTTTATTTCCATCATGTCAAAGTCATTTTGTTGTCAATTTTCTTCTTTTTCAAATACTTCTAATTAATTAAAATAATTACATTAAGGTACAACAATCAGGATAATTTAAATATCTTATCTGGACATGAACTGACCACTGACCACTTTTTATAAATCTTTTTTTTATACTCTCATATCTGACCTTTTGAATAAAATGGCTTCTTGCTGAACCACCTGGGTTTAAGTTTTCGAATTTTCGGATTTATTTAGCCAGTATTTTCAACCCTCATCTTAATTCTTACAAGTAATGTTTCATTTAAGTTGAATCACATATTGTGGATTTTATTGCTTGTAAAAGAAAGGCCCCTCACATCTGTGGTAAGTTCAACCTGTCCATGCTTTCCTAAAAATCAAGTATTAATAATGTTGTTTCCTTTTAGGCCTTTAAGTACTTCTTTAAGTACTGATTTAAGTACTTATTTACGTACATATTTACGTTTTATGCGTTCATTTATTAATTGAATATTTATTTGAACAAGATTATTTAAATCGAGAGATATGACAGATAGATATTGAAGGTTCGGTATCTACCACCGATTTATCTGCAGCACCCATATAATTCATTGGCACCTTCTGGAGACATCACCAACCATTACCGAGTCCTGAGTTATCAGTCGATAGTAAGACTTCAAATCCCTCAGCCCTCAAGTAAGGACTACCTTTCTTATTTTAATGTACCTGAACGTAGCAGTTCTCATTACCATCTGTACACTAGAGTAAAGTACAATATATATATAGTTGATAAGATTTAAGATAATAATTAAAACTCACCTTTTTCTGTGCACCTTATAGTATACAAGGGGGAACGTAAATCACCTTTATATTATTAACAGTATAGAAACCATAATAAACATTTGTAGGGGATAATAACTCCATGGTAAATTTTGTGCATCAACTAAAAGATAAAAATATTAAATCAGATCCCAGGACAAAATACTTTCATTAACCACCCCACTCTCCGAATAATAAATTTAATAGAGTTAGCTTGGGGAACATAGTAATTTTTGCCACCTCTTACAGTCCTGGGGAGACTAGGAGCGTGGCAAAATGGCGCCCAACGTTTATTGTCTGGTACTTTAGGGCTCCAGCATCGATATATTTGGATAAATATTTCATTTTTGAGATTAAAAATTTTTTTTCTAAACATAACCATAACAGATTTATTTTATTTTGACAACTCTGTCAGGCTGTCAGTCAAAATTTGATCGCTTCTGTTTTGGGTTTTCGGTGGCCTTTTACTATTAGGGCTATTGCGAAAGTGACTTGACCTATTCAGAACTGTAGTTTATTTTTTTCATTTATACTTTTACTTTATCATTATAGGTACTAGTGTGGTACTAGTAGATATGTATAGGAAATAAGCTAGGTAGTTTTTATTTTTAAGTAACATAGCATAATTGTACAAAATACGGGAATTTTTTTTGCATAGTTTGATTTAGTTTAACTAGTAATTTAATTCTTAAAATACCTGCCGCGTCTTGGAATTACTTATCTACATAGTTAAGGTAAAGGGTTAAAAATTTTTTAGTTAGAATTTTTTTTTAGTTAGGGATTTTTTTAGATAAAAATTTGTTTGGGTACCAAATAAATTTTTGGGTTTTATATTTTTTTATTTGTTACTTCTTTAGGAAGGAGTGGGGTTTAAATATTATTGAATATAATATTTAAATTACAAACAAATTATAGGTATTAAAAACAATTATATTTATTGAAGTTTCTTAATCTATACATTGTAGGTACATTGTAGGTACATCATAAGTAGGTATTTAAGGATAGAAGAGTTAGATATATAGTTGAAATAGTTGGATTTTTAGTGGATGTAAATTAATTTTCAGGTTGCATAGTTAGGTATTATGGAGGTTAATAGGTTATTGAGTGATGAGCTCACTTATGAAATAACAATAAGAGGTCTTCCTCTTGGTAGATCGGTAGCGGAAAAACGTGCAATTTTAAGAGAAGCTTTACAAATGGAAAAATATTTCCCATCTGCCGTGCCTCAAGTAACTGCATATGACTCTGTTGAAGAGTTACAAATATGTCGGCGTAAGTTAGGGGAGATACAGGATAGTATTCAAAACTTTGATATGACCAACCGGAATAACGATTTCCATAGGATACAGTCACGTCTTTCGCATATTTCACTGAGATTGGGACGAATAGTCTCACAGTCTAGGAGTCAGGATGACATGAAGGCAGCTTTAGAAGAACAATCCTGCCACTTGAAGGTGGAACTAAATCGGAAATATCAAACTGTAAATTCGTCAAACAACCGGGTAAATATTGATGAAAGTGAATTAACTCAGGCAAGTCAATCACATTCTGGGGAAGAACCAAGGTCTATCTTGGATGATGAGGTCCCCTATGTAGAAGGGGAAATTATTCGTCCACGAGAAGAAGGAATAGTTTATGATCTGGTGCAAGTCAATCCATCAAATGCCATAAGGCTCTCAGATCACCATTTGCAAGAACAAACTCGGGCAGAGACGGCTTTTGACAATAACAGGGTGAGGGTAGAAGACTCCAATGTACCGACGGTACGAGATAACTTTTCCTCAGAAGCTGGAACTCTAAGAGTTATCCAACATCTAGCACGGTTGTTCCAAAATCCTACGACCAATGCTGGAAGTGATCAACCCTTACGTCCCGTGGGTGAACAGGGTTATCGAACGGTTCGACCACACCGCAATATATCGCAACCTTTTCTCGAAGAAGCTTCCAATCATCAACCACCTCAGCACATCCGATTCGCAGAAACTGCACCCTCAGAAGTTGGGTTGAATTTGAACCAGTTTGCTGCTGGAGTGAATTCTCCATTCCAATCCACTCTAAGAAATCGAAATCCTGGTACTACAATATTCCCTCCTACTGTTGCTTCTGACATACCTACTGAAGATGGAATTATAAATCCCGTGAGTGATAGCTTTCCACCGAGACATTCTTCTGGGCTACGTTATTCACAAGGTGACTTTGTAGAACGTCCGATGCACATCAGTAGATGGAATGTGAAATTTAATGGAAAGACTAGTGTTACTGATTTCCTAGAAAGGATAGAAGAGCTGAGACTTTCAAGAGGAGTTCCTAAGGAGCCAATACATCGTTCGGCTCCCGAGCTGTTTAGCCAGGAAGCACTCTTGTGGTATCGCACAGAGAAGTTTTCTTCTTGGGATGACCTAGTGTGCAAACTCCGAGAGGCTTTCCAGCCTTACGATTACGAATTCACGCTGATGGATGAAATTAGGCGAAGGACTCAAGGAGCTCAGGAGAAAGTAATTAGTTATGTTTCTGTTATGGAAACTCTGTTTAGAAAGTTAAGCCAATCCGTAACCGAGTCCACCCGTATTAATCTGGTAAAACGCAATCTATTACCTCACATCCAATCTCATCTCGCAATCCATGAAATTACTTCTATGGCTGAACTTGTCAGGTTAAGTAGAGCTATAGAAGAAACACAAATTAGAGTTCAAAAATTTCAACCTCCTCCTACCAATTATCGGTCCTTGTTAGAGCCGGACTTGGCTTATAAAAGAGGGCCCACTCAACCTAATCTAACATCCATTGCTTCCGTAGCAACAACCAATGAATCTGCTACCGTTAATGCTAGAATTTCTAGTGCTGTCGACAATAAAACTCCAATATGTTGGAATTGTCAAAGCACGACTCACAAATTCAGGGCTTGCGATCAACCCCGAAGAAAATTTTGTTTTAAATGTGGTCGTGATAACGCGATAACAAGTACCTGTCCAAATTGTCAAAAAAAAGTAAGGGGGACTCAGTAGGTCGGCTGGAACTTCCCCTAGTATCCACAAATGCGACCGAATCAAATACAAGGGTCTTATTGAATTACATTATCGCCCATGCTACTGGAGACACTCGACCATATCTTCAAGTCAGTATTTATAATATTCCTATGTTAGGGTTACTTGATTCCGGTGCTACTCACACTATTTTGGGTAGGCAAGGGTGGAATAGATTAAAGTCTAGTTGTGCGATGAATATGTTGTCCGCTAAAGAGTGTATTGTGGCTAATGGTGAGACCTGCAATGTCGAGGGCTCTGTATTAATTCCTATCACCCTGGAAGGTCGTGTGAAACTTCTTGAAGTACTTGTAGTTCCGACAATACCTCATAGTCTTATTTTAGGATGTGATTTTTGGAGGACAATGGAGATTGTTCCTAATCTATTTTCGGGGCAATGGACTTTTAG